AAGGAGAGAGACAGACAGTGTGGCCAAGGAAGGAAAGAAGGAAGGAAAGAAGGAAGGAAGGAGAGAGACAGACAGTGTGACCAACATATATAAGTTCTCTTTATGTAACTCATCATCATGTAAGTACATATCAATAAAAACCAGTAAATACACATCAGTAAATTAATAATTTAATAATTGGTCTTCACCCCTGCCCTCATAAGTATTATCTGGGCCAGGGTAAACATTGATCCACTTCTCATTCTTTGTTTCCCTTGTCTTTTCCCCCCTCCCACCCACTCTGTCCTTCTCTATCGATTTAATCCTCTTTAATGACAGTGGGCGGAGGGGAGCAGCAGTAGGAGCCTCCAACACATCCTCTGTGTCTTGCCAGATGACATTTCTGCTTCTCAGCTCCTTAGCTAGGAGGGCAGCATGTAAGGATGACAGCCTTATCTTTCTGACAGTAGCCTCCAGTCCCGAGATCTGAGTTCCCATGACCCAGGCACTCTATTTATTTTCTTAGCTAGGAATTTCCAGAGCTTCAGCTGGGATGCCCTTTGCCTTCCGGCAGCTGGTCGTTCGGAATTTAATGAGCTTGCTGAGTTGAGTGGCCAAACAAGGGTTTCCCTCGCTGGAAGGACTCTTGACACTTTTTCCTGTAAAGTAAGTTGCCAGTGGCTGGGTTGCTCCAGGAAGGAGCCTTCCCAGCCATCTCCCCCGAGAACAGGGTGTAGGGTACAATCTGCAGCCTCCCTGCTCTGCTCCTTTTTAGATTTGGGGTAACCATCAGCAAAGCAGGAATACATTTTAAACCACATAATTCGCCTTCTAGAGTCCTTGGGATTTTTTAGCACCTTGCCTACTGTAAATAGTTAAGCCTGTAAGTAAACTTGCATTGTCATTCTGGATTTCCATTTACCCAAGGTCCCATCCTCCCTGATTCTCCGAATTGAATTTGAGTTTGCTGGGTAGATGATAGAGCTGTTGCTTTGGCATATGGGAACTTAAAGTGCTTCCTTACCATTCTGAGAGTTCAAGTATTTTCGTTTCTGCTTATAGTGAGTGCTTTAGGCATGTTCTAGACCCCTCATTATAATCTTTACATATTAATAGAAGAACTTGGTTTTGCACTGTTTTGCATAAACCAGAAGGAAGTCCACAATTATAGGCGTCTGAAGCTGGATTTCCTCAAGGGATGTGATGTATTCACCAAAATGTATTCCCGAGGCTCCCTGTGAGCAGAATGGAACTCAGCAAGCGCTACAGTTAACATTCTTCAGAAGGAATTTCGCCGCATACTTACAAAAAGGGAATCAGAGTTCTTATAGAGGAGCTTTACCCTTCCCCACGTCTCTCACATCTTAAAAATGCCCTCAGTTACAATTTTTGATGGTTTGTTCTAAATAAACAAGATATACTATGAATTTTAACATTATCACATGTAGTTCCAAAACAAATTAAACAACAACAACAACAACAAAAAACCCCAAACCCACCGAAGTTTTTGTTTGTTTGTGTTTTGATCTAGGATCTCATGTAATCCAGACTAGCTTCAGTGTAGTTGAGGATGTTGAAGCCCCGATTTCCGCCTCCCCTTCCCAAGAGCTGGGATTATAGGCAGCAAAATGTTTTGAATAAAAGCACCAGAGGGCAATTGGTTGTTGGTTTTCCTGAGTTAATGTTTACTTTGCTTTTTCACAAAGAGGAAAAAGTCATTCCTTCCCTTAGTACTTACCTATATATAAGATTTTATGTTCAGGTATACTTGCACTTAGAGATTTTTATTTGAACGTTAGGTTTTTATTTTAGGTTTGTTTGTTTTTTATGGTGAGAAGCGAATGCCACGGTGAAACTTAGACAGCAGTTCAGGAACTATGTCAGTGGCAGTGTGATTCAGAACAGCCAGCGGTGCACTCAGGCGAGGGTGCCTGTGTCAGGAAGCCCAGCATCCACAAGCAGCCTGGCCACGACATAGCATTACAGGCATCCTTGCTCTATGGAGAGTGCTCGTCTGCCTGGGAGCTTTCACATTTCAGGGGTGTGTGTAGTGTGATTCATGTTCTTTGGGGGGATGATATATGTATGATGTATGTATATATAATGTTGATGTATGTCAGTATGGGTACACATGTGCTGTGGCACACGTGGAGATGGGTGAACAACTCCTACCTCTTTTGAGTTGAGGTCTTTTGTTGCTCACTTCTGCATTTTTCTGTCTCTGCCTCCTCCCTCCCTGTAGGAGCGCTGGTCTTTCAGATGTATACTGTCCTGTCTGCTTTATGTGGGTTCTAGGCATCCCAAATGAAGTACTCACTTTGAGTGAGTAGACAAACAGGATAGCTACTGAACCATCTCCCCAGACCCTGAAAGTGCATTTTCTTATCTCAGCATGTGGATCAGGACTTTAAGGCCCATTACATTCATAACTCTTGAAATTCTTTGTTAAAAAAATTGATTGATTAATTAATTAATTTCCTGTGAGTTGTAGAAGGTGCTCACATTGTATACAGAGGTACAACTTTTGGGAACCTAAAATTCTAAGATGCTCAGAGTCCTTTGGCCATATAAAACCTTTCTGAAAATAGACCATATTGACTGGCTGTTCCTCCCAGCTCCGTTGCATCCTGATCAACTTTTGCCACAGATGGCCAAGGACTTTGCTGCCTTTTAACCTGCTGAAATCCTGTACAAATGTTGGTACGGGGTGGAGTCACCACCAGGTCTGAGTTAAATATTCTCTGCCTAAGGCAAAAAAGCCTTCATTCCCGGCATTGGTTTTTCCTTCTTCATGCTGGACCCAGAGGGTTGCTGGTACAGTTAAACAGTGACTAAAGAACCATTTCATTAACCAGAATTTCCACTCATCTCCAACTCTCTTCTACTTTTGGAGTTAGAGGGAGAGAACAGAAGAAAACAAACCAATCACGTCAACATGCTGTCACTTATAAAGTACTTCCTGTGTACCCAGCAGTGTGTTGCATGGACAAATGCCCCTAAGTCCTGGCAACAGGGGTCTTAGTGCTGTTTTGCTCATTTGGCATATGGAGACATGGAGGTTTACAGTGGAGCCAGTGTGAAGCACCTAGAAAGTTTCTCTGCTGGCTAGAGTTGATGTGAAGAAGTTAATTAATTGCTCTTTTAATGACGAGCTCGCTCTCCCACCTCTGCTGTCTTCCGAAACTAACTACAGAAGGTAGAGTTCTGCTCATCCAGTAGTTTTTGAGTGTGTGGTTTCTTTCTCTGTCTCTCTGTCTCTGTCTTTGTGCCTCCCCCCTAC